AACTCTATTTTATTAACTACTTACCTATTTTATAACTATTAATAAGAGCTATCTTTGCAGAATTTATCTAGATCCCAGTACTGACTTCATACTATATTTCTAGTACCTTTAGTATAGCTCTGTTTTGGTCTTTAGACTTTCAATCCAGATAGCCTATAAGGATTATGAACTGTCTTTAGTATATTAAGTTAGATCTAATATCTTTTTTCTTTAGTTCAAAATCTGATGACCTGATTGGTAATACACCTTACCTAAAGTTCTTGTCTGTCTGATTCCTTTATATTGATATCTGTTTTCTAAATATAACTTTACAATAGTATTGTTGAAGATTTGTATTATCTCTCTACTCAGTATTTCTAAGTAGGTTTCAGTTTTACTTAGTTTTACAAATTTATACAATTATAAGAATTTATCTTGAGTTTGCACTGCCCAGTACTAATTTGTATTCCTTATGTAACCAAGACTATACAGATGTTCTATAAACTGCCAATTATACTGATACAATCATAGTTATAGGTATTTTATTTCAACTAATCAACAGAATACCATTGCTATAATACTGTCTATGTATATATAAATAATTATTTAAATTTTCATTATTGATAGGTTTTGAACTCACAACCTACCACTTGGAGGTTGACAATTTATCTACTTCACTAAGTTGTCATATCCTGTTTTTTTTTTAGTTTTTATTGCTTAATATCTAAAAGTTATTTTTAATTATCTATTTACTTATACAACTTTACAAGGTAAATCATCATATTAAAGTTGTTGCATTCAAATAGATTTGATCAATATTATTAAAATATAGCATAAAAACTTCAAATATACTTAGAATGAAGTACTCTAAAACAATATAATTTTTTTTTATGAATTGTAAAGCAGGTTTACAAATGATATAAAGGTTTTTTCTGTTTTCTGTATAATGTTATAAATTAAATGATTGAGTTCAGAAATGAAGCAAATATGACAGATTTTTACTTAAGAATTGAATATGTTACATAAAATTTCTCAAAGATAATAGAGGCTATTTTATGATTTGGCACAAGTTCAAGGTGATTGTTTAAGGAGCATTACAAGATAAGTAAGTTTAAAGAGTATTATTATATTTGACAGATTCAGAGGATCTTTATTAATAATAATATTATTATCATAGAAACACACTTGTTATATTAATGGATTGTAGAATTTTGAACTACTCTTTAAGAGGAGAAAAATTACATTCTTTTTATAATAAATATGTTCACAAGAAGAGCATGTACAAGACCACAACTCTTCTCATTGTTCTTATCACATTCCAATCATTTTTGGTATAGTCTTTGACCTTTTTATAGACACAGCCTTTGTTACTTTAACATTTTTCATGTTCTTCATAGAACTGATAAGAATGCTTTAGTATCATTTGTCCCAGGGCCAGAGCCTAACATAATTATTACAATAGCACCCCTTGGCATTGCCTCACACTTAACCCAAAAAGAATAAAGTGGAGTCAACAACATTCTCAGGATAGTGGTGCAAACAGGTTGGTCCAAATCGAGTTTTCTTTATTTGGAGGAGGTTGAGGGATCCCACATTGAGGCTTGTGTGCTATCATATAGCTTTCTTGGGCCTGGGCATACATGTTTAAGAGGATCATTATGAGCACTACCAATTAGATAAATATGCCCTATGACGGTCACTTTGCAGATCTTTCAGCATGTCAGTTTTTCTGACAATATTAAAAAGTTTTTTTAGACCCTAATCCTAACCTAAATGAACTTTAAAGAATTTTTTAATTATCACATGATAGTAGAATTTTATGGAGATACTAGTAACCTACAAAACATACATTTTTGATACTTCTATATCTACTATTTGATACATCTAAACATGCCCTAAAGCTAACAAATAAGATCACATATTATTATAGCAAAAGTTAGTAAACAGTATAGAAATTTTAGGTATGTTCAAATGTATCAAAAAAGTAGGTTCAGAAGTATCAAAAATGAATGTTTTGCTACTGGAAAGACTTTATTTTTACTAATATCATAAGCAGATTTGCCCAATTGTAATCCAATAATGAATACCAAGAAATTATCAGACTTATGAAATATAACTAATTTTAAGTGTAACAGATATCCGAAATGTAACCTTTAAGAAAGCTTGCACATTGTACTCCTTTAATATATAGTGGTAGAAAAAGATAGTATAAGATGTACTAGTTAACTACCAATTTTAATCAAAATAAAAGGTGTTAAATTATATATATGTATATATACTACAAATTCTGGTTAGTTTATTAGGACTTTTGACAATTATTTGTCATTTAGTATTGTTATCCAGCTAAGTCATGTGCCATGTGACATGGCTAACCAAATAAGGGTACCCCAGTTAGAAAAATCAGAATCATCAAAAAGGACCGAAATGTAGGAAAAGTCCTTTTCAACGAAAAAAGAAAAGTAGGTAACTTAGTCAGTAATAGAGGGATCACTAATAAAGTTGTAATCATTATAGTCTTAGATAATGGTAATATAGACCAAGAAAATGTATATAAAATATTCTTATAAATAAAGGCCGTAAAGACCCTAAGGAGAAGAGAGACCTCTTAGAGATACTTTGCTTTATTAAAAATAATAACCGATCCCTTACATATTAATAAATACATAAACATCTCCCTTAATACATTAACTAATCATTAAGTCTTCACATCATAAAAACCTGATTCTTGAAATTATCTGTTCTAAACCATAATATTGTTACACCCCCATCTGGCTGTTGTATCCTAAAGTACCAGGATCAGCCATGGTCACTCAAGTCCAACTATCCAAAAAAGTGTGATAGTTGAGATTATATGTATAGTTTAATTACCTGAAGTAGTGAGATAATTGAGGGTTAAAGTTAGTAGACAGCTCAAGCAAGAAAAATCAGACATATAGTAGAAGGAATACTTATCTATGGACCCAAACTACCAACCAAATCTAAACACCTCTTTTCGACTAAGTCAACCATAGGTAACACAAAGTTTTGGATTATAGAGTGACTGACTCGCTGTAACGCCCAATTTCATTTGGCAGTAACTGTGAGATTCGAATAATATGAAGCATCGCTACCCCCCTCCCTTCTTCTGATGCGAAAAATGTAATAATAGAATTTACCTTGTAAAGAATAAATAAAATAGAAGACAAAAAGAATAGAAAAGATTTTATAATAAAAAAACAGTTAGATAGAAACAAAACTTGAATAAGAAGATGCTTGAAGGGCTAAACAAAGTAGACAACATACTAATCTGGACAAATAAAACTCCAAATTCCAAGATGACCAAGAAACTATTGAAAGAACTTCTTGAATGCCTGACCAATTCTTTTGCCCAAGTTGCAAATACAATCACTAATGCAAAAAAGGATCCAGAGAACAATGGGAGTTAATCCACATAAAAATCGATCCATTCCATGGCCACGATGATGAAGACCCAATAGAATGGTTAGAAGCATTCGAAAGCAATGCCATGGCCAATAATTGGTTCGAAGAAAGAATGCTGAAGATAGTGTCTGGGTATCTTAAAGACTTAGCTGCTGACTGGCATAAAAGAAATAAAAAGGAGTTAGAAGAATAAAAAGATGAAGAAGACAAACCAAGAAGCTTTTATTATGCCTTTATCGAATTCTTCACTATCCCGAAAAAGCATCACATGTGGCAAAAAGAACTGAATAACCTCTAGCAGAAGCAGGATAAAAAAGTGGATGCATACAGTGCCAAATTCAAATGATTATTGGGAAGAGTGAACCCAGAAAGTGACCTGCCAGACGAATTCGTAATTAGGATGTTCCTAAGTAGGCTGAAAGGAAAACTTCAAGCTTCATTACTGTATCTGAACCTGCAAATTTGGACAAAGCAATTGTTAGTGCTAGAAGAGTAGAAGCAAGGAAATATTATAGTAGGCAAACCTCTGAGAAAACCAAACAAAAGAAGTTAGAAGAAGAGTTGGATAATCTCTCGCAGAAAATCGAACAAATAGCCCTAAACTTCACAGCAGTAAACTCCAACTGAATAAATAAACCCTATAACCAAGAAAAACATCATCATAATTTTAGAGACAATAATGACCAAAAGAGTATTCAAGAAGAACTCTACTAAAGAGGACTCCCAAGAGAACCAAGAAAGAATATTACATGCTATAATTGTGGAGAAAGAAGCCATATAGCTAGGCACTGCCTGTTTGAAAAAATTCCTAGATGAAGTAATAATGAAAACCAAAGTGTTAGTCATTATATAAGAAAGGAAACTACTTGTTACAGTGATAACGATCTATAGGCAGACTCGGAGAAAGTTTATATTGTGAACGAATAGTGATACCAACCCTATGAGGCAAGTAGTAATAGGAAAAGGCCATCTGGCCAACCGGAATCAAAATAGAAAAATTGACTAAGAAGCAAACCAAACCCCACCGATCCCCAACTAATAATGTTAGAAGAAGCCCAGGATGTAATGGAGGAGGATGCATTTACACCAGAAAAAAGGCCAAGAAGGAAACGAGAACCATCAATTATAGATAAACTCCTGCTATATAACATTGTTGATGATATTCTGAATGCTACAGCCTATATAACCTTAGGTCAGATGCTCCAGTATCCGAATCAGAGACGAAACTTGGCCAAAATCTTAAGGTGGCCATTATCCCAAGTTCAAGCAACAGGTTATGTAAAGTTTGAGGAACCTAAACATACTATGGCTGCATGATGTTATGTCAGAATACAAGGAAACCCTATTGTTACTATACTAGATTCTGGTGCTGCCATGAGTATAATGATGAAGAAATTAGTTGACAAGCTAAAATTAAAAACTCAAGAGAAATCCATGACCATTGTAGTTACAGCTACAGGGGCTAGAACAAGGGCATTAGGAAAAATAATAGATTTAAAAATTATGATTCAAAATACCATAATCCCAAGTACAATACAGATTATCAAATCCTCTAATGAGATCTTGTTAATAGAGACCGATTGGTTCCAGAAGGCTAAGGCATGACTTCATTTCGACGAACAGCAGTTGATTCTTAAGTATCAGTTAGAACAATAGAAGTCCTGATCTCACATACTGGTAACGAACTCCTAAAGCAAGAGAAGAAAGGGGATGAATAGGATGTAGAAAGTGGTGACACCTTTGACGAGTTTACTTATGAGGAAGAAGAGCTTAACGAAGTGAAAGGATACTACATCGTAGAATCATCAGACGATAAGGTAGAAATTTATAAAAACCCCTGGAAGGAAGAGGTTAGCCCAGCGATCTAATTAACAGTGATAGAAGAACTACCTACTCAAGAAAGGGAGGAGCTTGCACTTACCAAGAAAGAGAGACTAGATAAACTAGTCTAGAATGAACTCCTAACTGAAAAAGAAAGAAAGGAAGTTTAGGAATTCTTCTGTCTTAGGGTTGAACTCTTTAAAAAACAAGATAAGTTGGGCCAGACCAGTATAATGACCCACCAAATAGACACAGCTAACACCAAACCTATAAAGCAATATTTTTATAGAACCTCTTCAGATGAACAAAAATTTATAGATAAAGAGTTAGTAACTATAGAAGAACAAGTGTTAATTTAAAAATCTAAGAGTCCGTAAGCCTTACCTGTTATTATAGTCTTGAAAAAAGGTGACAAACTTTATATATGCATCGACTACCGTAAACTGAACATGGCACAAAGTAAGATGCATATCCATTACCACAGATAGATGATCTACTTGAAAAGTTTAGACAGGCAAAGTGGTTCTCCAGTATAGATCTAAGAAGTAGCTATTGGCAAGTAAGAATGCATAGAGCGAATGAGGAAAAGACTGCGTTCATCACTAGAAATAGGTTATACAAATTCCGAGTAATGCCGTTTGGGCTCTGTAATGCCCGGCAACTTTTCAATACTTGATGGACATAGTAATGACAGTGTACATTAGTAAGTTCGTGGAAATATATATTGACAACATTAATGTATATTCCCAGACCTTCGCAGAACACCTAGACAATTTAGAAAAAGTACTTAGTAAATTAGAAAAGTTGAATCTGAAGACCAATATAGAAAAATGCACATTTTTTAAGCCCAAAATTCAATTTCTTGATTACATAGTCAGGTATAATGGTATTTGTCCTGATAGTGCTAAGATAGAAAAAGTAAGAGACTATTCAGCTTCAAGAATGATTAGACAGTTGAGAGCCTTTATAGGACTAGCCTCATATTACCACCACTTTATTAAAGACTTTACCTCCATAGCATGACCTTTGCATAACCTACTAAAGAAAAATGTTAGCTACAAGTAGGAACAGAAACAACAAGTAGCATTCGAGAAGCTAAAAGAACACCTGACCTCAGTACTGGTCCTTCAGTATTCTGATTTCTTTAAAACTTTTTTTTTATACATAGATGCATCAGGGACAGGACTAGGGACTGTATTGGTACAGAAAACAAACAGAAATAAAGATCATGTAGTCTCCTACGCCAGCTGCAGCTTAACCAAGACAGAAAGGAACTACTCAGTCACTGAATTAGAGTGTCTAGCAGTATTGTGGACTGTTGAATATTATTATCATTATTTTGGGTTTAAACCCTTTATTATTATAACAAATTATGTCACGTTAAAGTAGCTACATATGGCTAAATTGAATGGTAAACAAGCCTGATAGATCATTAGACTCCAGCCTTATAATTACATAATAGAACATCAGGCTGGTAGAGTTCATAATAATGCTGATGCTCTGTTCCGAAGACAAGAACCTATAAAAGAAAGACAAGGATCAGAAAGGTTTAAGAAGAGAAACGATAAAGTAGGGTTATGAAAAAATGAAAAACTAACAGACCTAGTATGGCTTCTAAACTTTATGGAATATGATGAATATGATGAGTACGAGGAGCATTGGAAAGAAAACATAGATGACAAAGATGTAGAGAAAGAATGGAACTGGTGGGATATAAATAAAGATAATAAATATAGTGGTAGTATGGACGAAGAATTAGATTATGAAAAGTTATAGCTAGAAATAAGCAGTGAATTGGATCAAGAGTATATCTGGATAAGAAGTGAAAGCCAAGAACATGCAATAGAAGAACTTCACGAAATTCACAACCATTACTGCCTTGGAGATATTGTTAACAGGATGATGTCTATGAAAATGAGTTACTAAATCCAGTAACTGAAATAGAAATTAAATACAAGTCTCTACAAAAATAAATACCACAAAAAAAGAATACATAAATCTGTTGTTAAATATCATCCAGTCCAGGTTGTTGGTATCCTGGCATTTAAAGATGGTGCTAACATTATATAGGTGCATTATAAAATATCTAGATGAACAATATTATCTACTAAATATAGACCAAAAACAACTTAGACAAATAGTTAATAGCAAAAATACGATGAAAGTAAGAGACAGTGCATTGTATAAAAGAGATAACCAAGACTCAGATAAATGGTTAAAAGTGGTTCAAAAATATGAGGTAGAAGCAATCCTTGAAATAACTCATAATCACCCACTAGAAGGGCACATCAGAGTAGATGTCATGTTCAACAAAATTTGGCAAATCTTTTACTGGCCTGGTATGTATAACGACATAAAGCAACATGTTAAAGGATGTGACAAGTGTCAAAGGAGGGGCAAAAATAAAATAAAAGGGCTATTGTACCTCATACCTGTATGATCTTCATTCTATTAGGTGGGGATTGATATCATTGGTCTATTACTAGTAATGCCTAGAAGAAATCGATATATTGTAGTAACCTCAGATTACATGACTAAGTGGCCGGAGACTAGGGCTATAAAGTCAGCGAATACTCAAAAAGTTGCTAACTTTGTATTCAAAGAGATAATCTGTTGTCACAAGTACCCAGAAAAATTGTTATCAGTCAGGATACTCACTTCTGCAATCAGTTGGTAGACAAGTTGTTAGATAAATTCCATATAAAGCACCTGCTATTCACACTGTACTACCCTCAAACAAATGGATTAGTAGAACGCTTTAATAAAACATTGTGTGAAGTGATAGAAAGTCAGCAGAACAGATTATTGACTGGGATTTAGTCATACCAGCGATCCTGTTTGCCTATAGGACTACTAAACATTCAACCACCAAGATAACATCATTCTTTTTGGTTAATGGACAAGAGACCAGATTGCCTATCGAATCTGGTGACATCTGGAAAATAGTGAATGATATGATATTGGAAAGAATAACAAGATTAATACAGAACTTACCCGAGGTTCGTAACGCTGCCATGGTAAGGATTCAGAAAACCCAAGCTAAGATGAAGGATCGACATGACAAGAACATAAAAAACTGGCCTGAATTGGAAATAGGAAATAAGGTGTTAATGTATCATGCAGCATTGACATATAATAGAAGCATAAAATTTGAACCAAAATGGAAAGGACCATTCTACATACACAAGGTGCTCCGCAAAAATATGATAAAATTAAGGACCATAGAAGGAAAAGTGATCGTTATGTCTGTTAATATCCAGTTACTAAAGAAATACTATAATTAAAAAAAAAAATATTTCTATATATATATGATGATAGAAGGACCAACAGAATGGGAAAGAAAGAAAAATAGAAAAATAGAGTTTTGAAAAATGGCGATCAGCTTTATGGAACTCTATAGTGATCTTACTACCTTAGGCCCAGCCACAGATCCCGTAACTCTGCCCTATACAAGTAACGATGACATGGCTACGTGTGTAACTTTCTCGTTTACCCAGATGAAAAAGGCCATTCGACTTAAGAACCGGATCCATGTCCTCGCATATGGTTACTATTTAGGAATGGTCTATGCGAACACGACCCCAGAACAAGTAACCCAACTGAGAAAGCTCACGACCCAATACTATTATCTAACATCGATGCGGGTCTATGATATCTTTGGTAAATATGGAATAGACCAAATCTACCGTACCCAGAAGGTAAAGTTCCATGATATAAGCCAGTTAAAGACCAATGATGTGCAACGGTTAGTTGACGCAAGTTCGTGGAACTCACCCATAAGTGGGGGAGAAATGTTATCCTGCTAAGTCACGTGCCACGTGAAACGGCTAACCAAATAAGGGTGACCCGGCTAGAAAAATCAGAATCGTCAGAAAGGACCGAAATGTAGGAAAAGTCCTT